TCGGTCGGTCGGTCGGTCGGTCCGTCTGTTGGTCTGTATGTTGGTCGAACAGTCACTTTGGGACCAAGGAGGCGGAAATTATGGTTAACATGTTATTCTAGAATCATGACAGACCAATGCGTCAAATAAAATGCAAACATTTTTTCTCTTTCTGCAGGCGCGGCTGCGTGGAAGCGTGCTACTGTAACGATACCGACATGGTTCTAAGAGGCGACAAATGCGTGCAAAAAACCGACTGTCCGTGTTACTTTGAAGGAAAAGAATACGAGAAAGGATCTTCAAGAATTGAAAAGTGCAACACTTGGTAAGTAGAGTAGTTTGGTCAGCGTTTGTTCGGGGTAGGAGTATATTGCGCCATTCTACCAATGACAGCACTGAGTTTAACGAAGGTGAACTAATTTCGGCTGAGAATGATGTCATGAAAGCTCGCACCAAATATGTGAGACCATCTGAGAGAGGGGCTGTAGGAGTTGGGGATATGTTCTGCGTGTGCTGCAGCTTCAATATCAAGGCTTAATTTATGCCAGCTGATACTCGTCCCTTGAATCAGCTATTAGAAACCTTTAGATCCAACGACGGTTACGAGGACGACTTCGAGATTTTCTGTGTGCTTGTACTGAGCATATTAGCTATCGCATCGTCTCTTAACTCTGTGAACTTGACGCCGGCTGCGTGTCTACAGCAAGATGTTTTGCAAAAGTCTCTCTCAGTCGAACACGAGATTTTAGAGGAGCTCAGTCACGGCATTTAGAGTTATTTTGACCACGTAGAAAATTACGTTGAAACTGAAGGAAACCTGAAAATAGTAGTTTACTAAGATAGAAAAACATCAAAAAGATCATAATAAACCATAGAAGAACAAGGATGGAGAAGATTAAATTGAAAAATTTAGGCTAAACCGTGAGGTGGCTCCTGTAAAGCTGAGTTTTACATAATTATTTGGCCTTCTTCTTTATGCAGAGCAAAAACATAAAATAGTCTAAGAAACTCGTTCTCGAACTCGTCGTCCGATCTAAAGGTCTGGGTTGACACCAACGAAACTAAGAACCAGAAGTAACTTACTACGAGGTAACCCACAGTCCAGCAAATTAACATTGGAATATCGATAAAAATGATTTACTGAGAGTTGATCATGTGGGCATTTTTGAACGGTGTCTCATGCAAAACTGCATGTGCTTTCAAGGCGCTATATCAGTCAACAGACGACAATTAGCTAGCTCATTGGATTTTGACTTCACCATAAGTCGATCCCTTAGTGATTTTAACTGCGCGTTTGTCTCTCTGATTTATTCGTTTTTTTTTTTTTCTTTTTTGTCTAGCACTTGCAAAGGAGCCGGACAGTGGGAATGTACTGCACAGGACTGTGATGGTATGTACAAGTTAAATCCTTAGGTTTGGGAAAAGTTAGCTCTGCTAGCCTCAGCCATTTTAATCTCGTGGCCAATGGCAGTTGGAATAGCCGTAGTTGGAATATCCTACCATGACAACTGTGTGAACGGGAGTAACGTAACATAACGTTTGTTATGTTTATTTTAATATTACCAATTTGTATTAACGCCTGTGAAAGCTTTATAACAGGTGATCTTCGATCTCTTTTCTCGCTAATATCACTTTAAAATTGCTTTCTTGATATAGTCGCCGAAGCATCTAGGTCACTGCGTCACAAAACCTTTTCTATTTCTGAGGCTGTGTCGTTTTAAAAGAATCAATATATATGAATCTAAATGGCGCCTAACAAATTTCACTGGCTTGGATGTCATTTCTATGAAACATACGGAATATTCTTTTTTGTGTTACTTAACAGCATTGTGCGCCAGTGTTGGCAAAGTGTACTCTGACTGTGGTGTCACCTGCGACAACTTTCTGATGAGTGACGTGGCACGAGCCTCGCGGTGCAAGCCGGGATGCTTCTGTCCCGGCAATCAACTGCTGCTTGAGAATGGCACCTGCGTGGAAAAGAACGAGTGCGGCTGCAAGCACAATAACAAGTTTTACCAGAAAGGCGACTCCAATCCCGTCGACTGCTCAAAGTAGGCATCTTGTTAATTTATAATTATAAATTGGAGTAGAATTCGGTCCATTCTCGTACGGGTGTGACCAACAACAACAAAAAAAATGACATTAGCGCAGTTTGCAATCGAGTGTCACAAAATCAAATTGAAAGTTATTCACAATGACTAATCACAAAGGACACAGGTAGTTCAGTGAACTAATCAAATATCTAAGCAATACACGTAGCTGACGCGAGGCGCAGAAAACGTGTGTGAGCGAGTCACTACTGGTTTGATTTTACTTCCGATTGGATGAAAAAGTGGCGGGAGTTTTTTAAGTCGACGGCACAATGAATCTATGCAAAACCTAAGAAAACAAGAATTACTTTGGACAAATAAGGGAAAACTGCACTATGAAGTCCTGTTATGCCATTAATTGTTGGTCATGGGGGCGCTTTACATTCAAGCGTTGGAAACTTTTGAAGCGGGGGAAAATTGTATGGGAAAAAGTTAACTGGGCTTTTCTACTGATAAGGGGCCTAGCTCAAAACGTGTAGAACTATTTAAACATGATTGCACTTAATGCTCGGATACGAGAACTATAATTCACTTTTCGTGTTTTTAAAACAAAAATTTCAGTTGTTGGTGTATAGCTGGTGTACGCTGCGTGACGGCATATGTTCGTTGCGTTACATGTGTTGCTGCTCGTGCGTTTTGTTACCGGTGAAAGGCATTTCATGAACTGTTCGACCCGTAAAAGTCGGGAAATAATGGATTAGCATTTCGTAGATTTCCTGAACAGCACTAAACGCGTTTGTAACTGTATTTTCCTTTCGTCACCAGGACTTGTAACGGAGCACGAGAGTGGATCTCAAACAGCTCGATCGATCCATCACCGGAATACGAGTGCGCTTCGTACGGTCAGGATCAGTACCGAACATTTGACGGTCGGTGGATCGTCTTCCATCAGGAACGCTGCGAGTTTACGATGTTGGAGGGAGACGGGGTCAAGATCTCCGTCAAAAACGAGCCTTGCAGGTAGGTATGGGATAGCTTCCTGGAATCCAGCGGTCCGTTTCTGGAAAGCCTCGGAAACTTTCCGGGCCGTAAAGCCATMTTTAGTTCATCTGTARCTAAAAACAGAGAAGTGTATACGCCTGAAACTTCTTGTATGAAGAGAACCTCTGTTCATATTAAGAATATGTGAATAAACAGCTCTGTAATCATACACCTTATTCCAAAATGGCCACCATTTTAGTATTCTTTTGTTTACTTGAAAATGAGCCCTTGCTGCCTCGTTTAAAGGAAAATATTCTTTTGAATTTCGAGTTTAAGAGCGAGGCAAAAAGGGCTAATTTGCAAGTAAACAAAAGAATACTTTAATGGCGGCCATTTTGGAATAACGCGTATAAGGTTTGAGATTTCGCTACGGTTTTCTGGGTGCGAAAACTTTTCGGGACCTTCGAGAAACGGGCCCCGGGGCCGGATTGTTCGAAACCCCGTTAACGCTAATCCAGGATTAAAAGTTAACCGAAGTAACAATTTTTCTTCTACATAAATGTTTTTCACTGCTTAAGTTTTGTGTAATTTGAGATTACTCAGGTTCAAAACTCAAGGACAAACAATATAAACAGAAAACCTCACCGAAAATGTACAAAAATGAGATCAAAATTCTCGCTAATCCTGGGTTAGCTTAATCGGGCTTTGAACAACCCGACCCAGGCCTTTATTGTTGTGAAGCATGTAGCTGGACTTTTACCATGGGAAGACGTGCTGTGGTAAAGGACATGGTTTGCACAAGCCTTTAAAAGTCCTTAAAATGGCCAAATCCTTGGAACTTCTTGAAATGATAAAAATTTTAGGCTTTGTCCACACTTACCGGGGAACTAATGTACCGAAAACGGAACTTTTCTAAAACGCCCTTTTAACCGGAGGAATTTGAAAACGCCAGCTTTGCATTTGAATGCGGACCGCAAACGTTTTGAAAACGCAGCTTTTCGAAAACGATGACGTCTTGATAATCATGTGATTTACCCTAACCCTCAAGGGTGCACTGAAGCGTTTCTGTCGCCGGTGATTGTTGCGTTTTCAAAGTTTTGCGGCGTAGTTTGGACAGAAAACGTTTGATGTGTTTTCATAATGAAACGCCGTTTTCGAAATTGTACGGCCAAGTGTAGACGGGTTCTAAGAGGTATTTGCCATTTTCGCCTTGAGCTCGTCCCCGGTAAGGCTTAAAAGATGCTGATGCCGAAGCCTGCCAAAGGGGTACGATGAGGTATTCCCAAATTCGACTAAAAACGCGGCGTTATCAGATTAGTGACTTCATATCGCTGGAAATCAGGACAGTGGACGAGGCGTTTGATTGGCTTATCGCGAATTAGGGTAGACTGAGTTAGTTAAGTGATGTGCGCGAGGCTAAAGGTGCATGTTGCTTTTCTTTTTCAGAAACTCGCTTGAGTTACAGATGTGCAAACGAGTTGGCATCGAGTTGGAGGGAGGCGCCTCTTTCGTAGATTTGTTTCAGAAAGAGTTCTCCATCATGCATAAGCAAACTACAAAACAGTTCAAACCAGGAGAATATCCAGAACCGTGTCAAATGGAGATTCCTAATGTGGAAATCTTCCACGTCGGTTTGTTCCTCATTGTCCGTATTTATCAGCCTAACAACCCGTTCTTTGTCAAATTTGAGGTAAGCCGTGTTGAATTAATTAACAAATTGACTTTCTTTCCATGTTTTATTCTGTTATAAAGCACCCAAAACCACGAGTCACATTGGAAACAAGTAAACATGTTTTAAATGTAGCAGTCGCTACTTTCGTTACCACAGTTGAGCCTCTCTTCAACAGCTACCCTGGAATGTCGTTAGATTTCATTAATAATAAAGTATTGATCGGCCTACGAGTGGGACAAAACTTGCAGTTCTGGCTCTCCTTTTGAGGAGAGGTTTTCTTTTATAGAGAGGTGTGCGTCAGTTGAGTTTGGACTGTGAATAAATTTCGGAAAAAATAAGTTTTCAAAATGAAAAAAATATTCACGCGAAATATATTATATGCTCCAGCATTCGTAGACATTGTAATGTAACTGGCTCTCCGGATAATTAACCCTCTCCTAATAGCTTAGCCTGTGACCAAGCTCTCTCGGCAACTCTTGGAATAGCGGGGCTGTGAGTTTGCTAGAGGCTATTATAGCTAATCCACGTGTGAAGTTAATTCTCGCGTACTCTCAACTTGTCTGACTGCGCACTACCTAATGGCAGTAGAAAAATGGCTGTAAGCAGTTCGCGTCGAGCTTCCCGCTACAAACCTCGTCGAATTTTATTCCTGTGATTTTAGGTGTTGTAAGACATAAGAGCTGTGAGGACTTAACTTCGGTGGCACACAGTGGAGAGGTGGAGTATACAAAACTGAAACGTCTTCCACCTTTTATTCATTTTTGCCTTATGGTATGACACAAGTCATGCTACGAGGTTTAGAAATGGACCTCAAATTCACTCACTCATTCCGCTCCATGAGAAAATTAATTTTTGCATCAAACCTGGATTAAAAGCGTTTTCCACCACCTCCCTTCCTAGGTTTGCTTTTGTCCCCAAAGTTTCTGTGCAAATAATATTGGGGGGTAGGACAGAGGTGGAAATTAACAAAAAAAGCACTACAAGGGGCAACCAAAGGAGGCGAACGAGTGCGCTGAAAATAGATACAAAATACTACGAGGTAGCTCTAAGGAGTCTTTGATCTCTTATAGGTGCGATTTGATCAAGGGTCTCGTGTGTACGTCACACCGAACCCAACATACAAAAAGTCCAATAAGTTGACTGGTATCTGCGGTAATTTCAACGGACTCAGCCAGGACGACTTACTACTTCGTGATAAGAACACAATGGCCGCTGATGACACCGAGTTTGGTTATGAATGGAGAGACGAAGAGGATTGTCCCTACCCAGTGAGCCTTGACCCTTGTTTGGAGAATCCTGATCGGCAAGGCTGGGCTGAGAAAGGTAAAGATGCAATACTATGAATCGTAAGTCAGCCATGTCGTAGATAACGCATCTCCAGAATTCTTGTCTCCATCTTTCCTGGTGTGCTCCATCCTTGTTCTTTTTTTTGTCTTTTTTGGTGTTTGTCAACCGTATCTCACTGCACGTGTATGTTTCTGGAGTTTTCTGTCAAAAATTCGTCACAACTGAATAGTGTCAACCATATTATACTACACGTGCATGTTTTTACAGGTTTCTATCAAAGTTTCATCGTAAATGGGTCGTGTCTGATAGCTTCTACATGTCTTGTTTTGTAGTTAGGGTCAGCCTTTTTTTGGTTCATTTTTAGTGAGTGAAGAACGGAGTATTTTGACGAACATGGAGGTGTTTGGAAATGTGGTCAAACACCGTCTTGAGTGTTTGATATATCGCAACTAAAACTAAGGAGAAAAGGGAGAAATAAAATCGTAAAAATCTGTGCTAATTAAGATCAGATGTCCAGGCACCGTCATGGTCATTATTTCTTTTGTTTAAACTTGATGTATTATTAATAGGTTTGAGAATTATATTTCTACGTACGCTGTTATCACTGATTGTAATATGGCTCGCTTGTTGACTATTTCCTTTTGATTTATTTAGGCTGTAATGAGATCAAGAGGAATGCAAACTTCAAAGCTTGTCACGATACCGTGGATCCCGAACCTTACTTCCAGGCCTGTAAACATGAAGCTTGTCTATGCCACAAGGGAGGGGACTGTGCATGCTTTTGTTCAGCGGTTGCGTCCTACGTGCGAGCCTGTAATCAGTACGGAATCTCGATCACGTGGCGTCGGGAAGGGTTTTGCGGTGAGTAGCGAGAAAACGGTGTCTTATTTGACCAAGAGGATTTTGGAAAAAGTGCGTTCGATTTTGACTTGATAACTAAAGGTTTTTCTTAAGTTTTTTTTTTTTTAATTAAGTCGATTGGAAAGGTGAAATCGCAAAAAGGGAAAATAACCAGAATTAGTAGCCAATATTTTCCGGTGAAGTAACCCCAAACTACATGTAGATGACACCAAAAAATTCCCTTGAGGTGAAAGAAGCAACATACCTTTTTCTAAAAAAAAAAAAAAACTAGATTGCTGACCGCCAGAGGCTCAAAATGATCTTTATTCAGTTTGGAGTAAATTTCCAGACATTTCCAAATTTTGATCACGGCCTGTCACTATTAGTTGCCGCCCTAATGAGGACTTTCGAGAACTTCGAAATGTTCGGGTCAGCGTTTACTCTTTCGATGTCCGTACAATCTTCGACAAACACAAGTTACAGAAAAGAGGTGCTGTGTAAATGAATTAAAAATCATTAAAATTGTCGTTCAATGTTATTAATTAATTTTGATAACTGTTTTTCGCGACCAGAACTCCCCTGCTGTCGCCCTTGCGAAAACACCGGTGGCTACCTTGCCAACATAAGTTTGCCAAGCACGTGCGAGAGGCCCCCCAAAGATTGCCAGAAGTTAGGAGCAAGGTGTTGCCGTGGACCACGTGTTGAAGGATGCTCTTGTCCAATTGGCGCGTACTTTGATGGCAAGAAATGTGTCAATCAAACTGAACAGTGTGAGAGGCCTTGCGTTACCACAACAGTTGTCACGCCTTCTTCGACTGTGTCTAGTTCAAGTAGCGTCAGGTAGGTCAACCGAGGATTGTAATGTAACAACTAGTGTAATAATAATAATAATAATAACAATAATAATGGCAATAATAATAATAATAATAATAATAATAATAATATTAAAACAATTGACCATATCGTGTCTGGGTGTCCTGAACTTGCGAAAACAGAATATACCCACAGGCAGGATAAAGCCGCCGCGTATATACATTGGAAAGTCTGTCACAACTATAATATAAAGACATC